CAAAAATAGAGGGCTAAATATTTAAATATTTGGTGGTATCCTTCAAAAAGGTGGTTAGCACCCCCACCTGCTGTATTCTCATATATTGATATTATATATATTGCCACGCTCTTGAAACATACACAATTGAAATCCCATTATGAACAGCCAGCCTGTTATCAGTATATGTGAATATATGCAGTCTGACTGTCAGTGTCCTGCAATATATCACATTTACAGCAGCCTTGTACAGCTGACTGTCCAACCCATCTCCACATAGCAGTCAATACTGCAACATGGCTACTGGTCCAGGTCACACGTTGACGACTTGCATGTTTCTCGTAAAATGTAAATAAACTCAGGTTGTTGTTGATTTGAAAAGCATGGTGCGAAATTCCTTGTATAAGGGCACCAACTGTTATAATGGTAGCGGCAGAGTCAGTGTGGGAAATAGTCTCAAAATACCGCTGGCCAGGTGGGTTAGCATGCCTTCAAATTTACTAACCTGTTTCAAATTTCACAAGCTTAAATAAACGACAGTGTATTTTTCCAGAAATTTGATTCTGCAAAGGTAATGAATAAAGTAAACCCAAATTGTAAATCATGAGTCAAATATTATGAAGGGGTAACTAGGGGTCCGCAGCCTGAATTCGTAACAGATATTAAATTGATTTTTCACATTTTTATGGTCGTATTGATTTACATATACGAGAGAACTTTTTTAATTTTGGTAGCTTTTTTGCACACTAGGCACAGTTGCAATACATGCTGATGCAAAGGTCACACTTGAAAGTCATACCTTTTAACAAAACACACCTTGTGACGATATTTATTATCTGAAGCAAAAGCTCCGTATCATCTGCGTATTTGTGTAAAATACACAAACTAAATTACCAACACTCCTTTCAGTAGCATTTAGAAGTTGGTGTGATGAATTAAGACGAGTTCTATGGATGAACAACTTCTTTATTACAATTAGTGCGACGTTTCGGTGTAGATCCTAACACCTTGATCAAGGTGTTAGTATCTACACCGAAACGTCGCACTAATTGTAATAAAGAAGTTGTTCATCCATCAAGGTGTTAGTATCTACACCGAAACGTCGCACTAATTGTAATAAAGAAGTTGTTCATCCATAGAACTTGTCTTACTTTAAATTACCAACAGCCAATTAATTTTGAGCTGCTAACAGACAAATACGTATGAAAACCAGAACTTCAGAACTTGGCATAATTACCCAGTACATCTTTTTCAAATTGTGTCCCTGTAGTATTTTTTACAGTTCTTTCTTCTAATCAAATGTAAGCATCACACATATATATAACTGAAGTAAAAAATATAAAAGTTGCAACATCTCATATTGTTATTAGTTTATATATGTTACACCCTTGCTGTAAGAGGCCACTATGCTTGTCATAAGAGGCGACTTACAGGATCAGGTGATCAAGCTCGCTGACTTGGTTGGTGCATGTCATCGTATCCCAATTACGTGGATCGAAGATCATGATGTCAATCACTGGATTGTCTGCTTCAGACTCGATTATTTACAGCCATCATATAGCTTGATTATTGCCGAGTGTGGCATTAAAAGAAGAAAGAAACAAACAAACATAACTGTCAATTTATCAAAACTCCTAGAGTAAATATGATCCTCATGATGACAGAGAAAACACAGACTCCTTGTATTTAGGGTTGTACACACATCCGGCCTACCAAAGGAACTTGCAGTGTGTAATATCCACAAAAACCTGTCAAATGTATACCCTTCCACAGTTGAAATTCAAATAACAGAGGATTTTCTCAATGACAATGACAACACTCTTAAGTCATGTGGTTTACCATACTGTCCGTTGTATCAAAAAGTACCAATCCGCTGATCAGTTGTTTCTATGGTCAACATGATAATACAGTCTATTTAAAAGGGAAGTGTACATGCAAAAATCACTTTCTTTCTTTTTCTAAACAAAACGCAATTTTAGAATTAATTAGTATCTGTGTTTGAAAATATACACTCATTTTTTTCACAGTGAAAGTAGGAAGCTCACAATAGTGTGAAAATGATATGCCGTTATAAGGCCTTCGTTTTTCGCGCTAAACAGGCCTGAGTTATCCCCCTTAGATTATGACGTAATTGGTGCCAATTCAACTGGGTCCCTGTCTATTCTCAACGCAAAAGATATCAAGTACCAGTTTGCGGTAAAACAACATGGCCTACGACACACTCAGGCGCAGTGGTAACTCAGCATAACACTATGCTGGCTGGCATCTGCAACGCTAGAATCACACACCTAGACCTACACCACGTGAAGCGGCTCTAACAAAGCATGATGACGTCATAATGTTTATCAATTGGCACCAATGACCTCATATTGCAAGGGGCATAAGCCATGGTGTTTTTGTTGTGGAAATAGAACACTTGGTAAATGTGAAAAATATAAATCGTTTTAATGCGAAAAATATGTTAATTAATTGTGATATTTTTATATTTTTGTCTATGACACTTCTAGGTTAACACTTTTAATGTGGAAAAAGTACAAGAAAAATAGGTTAATTTCCGTGTGAACTTGCCCTTTAAGAAACAAGTGATGAGTGGGAGTTGTTTATTGTACAATAAAACACTGCAGGGAGAATAAACTATGAGTTGCGCAGCCCCGAGAGGTTTATTCTCCCTGCAGTGTTTTATTGTACGATAAACGACAGCGCGACGTTTATTTTGGGATATGAATATAATGTACAGCCTCTTAAATGATGTTAAAAAATGTACAAGCTTTAAAAATATCCACCCATATTTAAATAATGATGACTCCCTGAATAGAACCCGACCTCGGCAATGTCGGACAAATCCATTTTATGAACAGGGTGATTAAATTTGGTCTTTCCCTCATATTTTCACCATTCTCACGTTGATTATCTGTCCCTTTTCTCCCAATAACGATTGACTTATCTCTCCCACTTTTGGACGCGATTGTACTGTCTTTGCGTTTATCTACATCTATGGGGAAGACGACTCACTAGACACTTCCCTCTCAAAAATAACATCGTCCAATTTACGACGTCATCAAGTTTCAAGCGCATGCTCAAATCTCCAGGAATGACATCATGATTGAACAATGTTTTATCGTGAAATAAACCATGCTTCGTTCTTCATCGTTCTTTGCGATTTATCACGTTGCCATCTTATATAGTACAACAATTGACAATGAGGACAGTCTATTTGACATACACGATATACCAGCCTTTTAGACTTTTTAATAGAAGAAAACAAACTATTGCACTATGATGTGATAACTGTTATGACTATAATAGTCAGTGCCAGAGCTCCAGATAAGCTGCGTATTTGCGTAAAATACGCATAAAAAATGCAGATATACGCAGTAAAATAATACTCAATCATATCAAAAACGCAACAAACATTAAAGATACGCTACAAAAATCAAACTTGTGCGTATCATCAAAATAACCCTGTGTATTCGATTGGCAAATCAGCAACTTATTTTGAAATTATAAACGGCATTCCGTCAACTTTGCCAAACTCAACGATGACAGTTACATCATGATCATTTGCAATCACACTTTCTTGTGGAAGTATCGTGGTATTTTTTAGTCTTATAAAGCTCTCGAACCCACACAACAACAGTTTGCAGGGACTAGATGAATAGTGTTTTTAAATATTTAACTTATATACCCACATGTGTAAAAACTAGTGGGTAAAAGAAATTTGAATACCCAAATAGAATTACTGATACCCAGTGATTTTAAAATGCATGGGTAAAATACCCACAACACCAAGAGCTTATCTGGAGCTCTGAGTGCACAAATGGTTTGATTCTCTACCAAATTCTTAAATCTTCACATGATGCTAGTTGTTTCTTTGTTGGTTTGTTTATTCAAGTTGTCTGTTGACAACTTCAACTTTTTAATCAGTAATGACAAAACAACACACCATTGCTGACAATGAGTAGTCATTAAGTGAGTGAGTTGGTTTTAACGCCGCTTTGAGCAGCAGTTCTGTTTGATCACGGGAGTCACTGCTTCATGGCTGGAAAACCCCGAAGTGATGCCGGTCTTAGACATTTACCACAGTTTGGTGAAACCCAGGAGCATTATGGGAATTGTGTCGTAAAACCTAGAAAGAGCATCCGGGTGATCAAAGATTTTCACCTCGACACCACAACGATGATGATTATTATTATGTGCAGTTGACCTTGTATTGTAATTTGACTACACCACAGACAAATAATCAACAGGGATCAGGGTTTGACAAATAAATACATTTTGACAATCACATGACAATGTGGACTTTCAATAACTGAATGTTGACAGGGATAGACATAAACCAAGAAAGTCTACTGGCCTAAATAGTGGTAACACAACATAGGAAAACCCCAAATGTTCAAAATTCTACCAGCTCTCAGAATACCTTTAGCATGCTTAGCACTGGTAAAACTGACTGAGGCTAGTGCCAATTTATATATCTGGTTAAATATGTTAAATTAATATGCTAAACAATCTGATATAATTCTATTTCAACATCAACACATATCAGCGTTTCTAAAAAAATTAGAATGATACAAAATAAATATCTAAATTTGGCATGTTAAAGTTATCTTCTACATGTTCCTACTTCAAGTTAGACATTGTTATACAGTGCCATTGGGCTGAAACCACTATATTATCTACAGGTACAGTGTTGTTTCTTGGGTGTTTCAATAAAATAAAAGAAAGTGTGACTATTACAAAGGTTTTGACCACTTTCAATGAAAATTAATGTAGTCTGTTTGATGTGGAATGACTGTGTGGTATGATGTAACAATCTTTTAGCAAAACGTTAAAAAGAAGATATAGATCTAGGCCTAATATCTATCTGACAAGATTCTTACTTCTCCAATATTTTTTCATCATCATAATCACACGGTATCAGTCTCTCTTATTCAAATACTTAAACATACTGATAATGATATCAGCTGGACAGTCAGATAGCAGAACAATATGTATTACAGATTGAAACCACTTTTACTTACCATGTCTAGTGTTGTCTGTCGTGGATTTCAACTTGAGAAGTGACAGTGTATTAGGAATCAGATCCGACTTTCCAAAGCTTAATAGTTCAGAGTATCCCACGTCCAATCACACTAAGAGCAACTTCTTAGACAGGCTCACCTGCGTATCAGCGAACTGTTTCTCTCGCGGTGACCTGACACGGGTCATCTAAATCTACGTCACGTGAATGTCAGCTAATCAGATCCGCCACGGGCATGTTCTATAAAGTCGCCACGAAATAATTGTAATTGCAGCTTAATATTTCAGTCTTCCTTCTCAATTGACACAGATATATTTTAACAGAGTAGCGGATATTTTAACACTTCGACAGCCGATTACAACATTGATTAGACTACAATTAACTCTAAAACAGGTTGCCGATTCACAGTAACATAAGCCACACCCACTTCGAATGAGACCCTGGGCTTGGCAGGTGTCAATCTGAAATATTTTAATGGCCAGTGATTTGAAATAGTTGGAAGTGACGAAAGTGCTACTTCATGTGCATATCACTTAATTTTTAAAAGCCAAAACTTAACTCATAAATATAAAAAAAGTGTTTGGTTTCGATTGTTTCATTCACGTTCAAAGATAGACTGGATCCTGTCTACCTAAACTAGCTTGCGTCGCGTACCAACAGTGTAACCAGTTTAATTCTAAGAACGGAAATTAACAACCGGAAATGTAACTCAGTTCGCTGCGTATTATTAAAATTTGGCATCGAAATTGAAGGATAGTGAACTATTATTATAGTCTATATGTTTTGTTTTTGTCAATACTATTTTCACTAATCAACAAGTCATTTTTTTTTAAATACAACGCTGGAGTAAAATCATTCGAAATTATCTTCATATAGCTTTATGTGTATCATGAAGGAAGTCTCATGATCAGAGAAATTTGGAGTTTCAACTTCTGCTAAATAACTATTTATGAAGTAATCTGCGTCATGTTTTTCGGCGGAGATGATGAGGATCAGGATTTCGTGTCGGGAGGAGGAGGAGGGTATGTGCTGACAATCAAAATGAAAGCTACACGCTTAAGATTAATTCTCTACACGAGGGGGTGTGACATCCGTCGGTGACAGATAATGTACACAACATGTATTGTTATCATGATTACCGTGAAAGACATTCAATTTCTTCGGTTTTACTAGCTGTGGAAATTCTATTTTAAAAGACAGTATTTTGGGGATAAATACCTTCCTTTGTAGATTGCACGGAAAGTGTTTTTTTATGTCGTAAATAAACTGAAAAAAAAGAAACACATATGAACATGTACGGTACAGTGAATATTGGGAGCCCCTTTAGAATCCTGTCTTATGGCCTGTATTACAACTTCTCGTGAGGATGATCTCTGTCGTAGGTCACGTGTCTCAAAGACAAGCAACCAGTATTTTTTAGAATCCGTCGGACGCGAACATAGGATCTTCGGATTGTTAGCCCGACAGCTAACTGACTGAGCTACATCCACACTGTGAAACTATAAGTTCAATTTTACCTAGTCATGCCAACGATGTTACGAAACTGAATAGTTGACGGACACTTACAAAGGTTACGGGTAGGCATGGTGTCTCCTGACTTTATACTACGGACACTTACGAGTGATCCCAATGCCATTTGGCACACTTGTCCTATTCCGTAATCTACAAAATACCGAGTGGTGAGGAATGAGCCGATATGGCGCGAACTGAAAACGGCTCAAGGCATCAAATGTCGAACTATCAGGTACGCAGGAATGACATATGTATTTGTGTGAAGAATATTAGGAACCGCTATAGAATCTATAATAGCCACTAAATGGGTACCTAACCCTAATGATCGTAAAGGGGTGATTGATCGTATAGGGGATCCAAGGGCTAAGGATAGAGTTCGGGGGAACCTATCCTATCACCGGCAGTATAATATACCTAATAAACTGCATTCTTGTGCATAATATTAAAAAAAAATATATGTATGATAGTTTCCATTTATAATCATTTTAGCCACTTGAATTATGAAAAAAACGCAATAAAAATATATTGAAAATAAAAGTGCTGTCAGAAACTAGCGCTAGGTATAAAATGCCCCGCTGTAGGCTATATTTTGTAAACAAATATTACAAGGGTTAAGGATAGAGTTCGGGGTAACCTATCCTATCACCGGCAGTATAATATACCTAATAAACTGCGTTCTTGTGCATAATATTAAAAAATAATATATGTATAATAGTTTCCATTTATAATCATTTAAGCCACTTGAATTATGAAAAAAAAGCAAAAAAATATATTGTAAATAAAAGTGCTGTCATAAACTAGCGCTAGGTATAAAATGCCCCGCTGCAGGCTATATTTTGTAAACAAATATTCAACACTCTCAACATCGCTGGGCATATTCAATGACATTGCATTTTGATATGAAAGATCACTGGGAGGAGCTTATGCATACTCAATGACCCTTGATGTCACAGGGCATTGCTTCACCCGTGTGACTGGCAACAAAATACTACAAATTATGTCATAGGGTATTGTCATGTGTTTGAAAAGTTTGTGGTACTGTATTCTAAAGGTAGGCTGAATACTGTTTAACATTGTTTAATGCTCTCTGAATAATCTGTAGTTGTGGCAGTTGTACGACCTGGATTATATGTTATTTAGGAGGAGATGTGGTGGGCAGGTGGTTCAAGTGTTTGCTGGTACAGTGTTCCCTCGCTATTGCGCTCTTCAACATAGCGCTAACTCGGTTATAGTGCGCGGTAAAGCACAGCTCCAAACATTTGCTAACATAAACTCAAGTTTTCCAATGACACAATGTTTTCCCCCATCTCATAAAACATTATCAGCTGATCACCGCTATCGCGTAACACCGGAAATACCAGTCAACAATTATAATTATGTTTACAATAATTTCGGCAAAATTGTATGCGAAGTGATCGGTAGATTGCACAACTCACCGTTATTTACAGCAACCATGGTCAGATTACCGCTATTGATGCCTTGAAACAAGCTTTAGTTGCAAGAGAATGGATACACATATCATAAATGCCGTACCATGACTCGCTAAAAGTCAAATTTGAGGCAGTTTGACTATTAAATGCCAACATAACGTTTTCGTAGTCGAAATACATGTAGCGCGTGAATTCTCTACGGTGACTGGTCAAATTGTTCCATACATAAAAAAATATCCTGCATGCCACCTGTACGAAAGTGCTATGCTTATGATTCTAATAATTTTAAGTATATTCAAATATAGTGGAAGCTCCAACTGAAATAACACGATATTGGAATATATTATTCCTGATAAAAAATAAAAAATCAGATAGAATTTCTTCTGACCATTGCATCAAAATTCTTTGAAGTTGTACCATTGGGTACGTTTTAACTGAATCACCGGTAGATTGGGAGGAAACGTGTGCACAGCTGATTGCTATTTCCGCTTAGTTTACGAGAAAATACATATGGTAATCTTAATCTCTGCATATAAAACAATGCCTTAGAGAGCAGGAAATACATTTTAAAGGGTAAATCATCATGTCTAGTGATGTTTTATATCACATTTCATACTTTAGTGACCAAGTTTGTTATACCTGTTTATTAACCTGAGTTCGCTGAAGGGATACAATGTGTTTTTTGAAAGCGCATATTAATACTCGATAATCTTTTTTTACACTATGAATCATAAACAACTTTTATTCTAATCTATTTTTAGACTCTGAAACGTGCAACGTAGATTGTGTTAGGTAGGCAGAGCATGTATACTGTTTTGTTGGTCATCTACCACCTACGATTCGACCTTCGTTAGACCGCTGGTCATCTATAAGGGTCCTCAATTATTTGGCCCCCGAACGTAGCGTTATAGCGAGGAATCACTGTAATGCCAAAGTCAAGCTGGTTTAATTCCCCACATGGAATATTACATAACAATGTGTATCTTGTTGAGGCTGCAGGGTAGAATTAGTCTCATGTAACCACTGCTTGTCAATGGAGGCAAACAAGAGGATAGGGCAATCAGACAATTAGACTCGGTTTATGGATAACAACTTCTTCAATTACTGTAAAGGTGATGTTTGTTTCGGTACCCGAAACCTGAGATCAAACACCTCCGTCAATTCTTCGCTCACCTCAACAATTTTCAACCCAATCTCGTTGACAAAGATGAGTGAAAACTTGGCGGAGGTGTTTGATCTCGGTTTTGGGGTCAGCAGAAGAAAGGTTGATGGCTCAGTTAGTGAGGGTAGGGATGATGCCAGTCTTTGTTCTGGGCCATATCAGCAACTGCCCCAATCACAAGATCAACTGGGAAAATGTCCAAACCCTCTCCAACAACCTCCATGACTTCACTGAGAGAAACCAGAAGCAGTCCACATTCGCCGCCACAGGCCATCAGTCAACAGAGATCAAGGCTCATTCATCCAAATCTCATTAAAATCAGACCTCAGTTCTCGCTACAGCTAAACAAAGATCTGAGGACATCCCATTACGGGTCATGTCAGAACGACCTTTCATCTGACCAATCAGAGCATTGCTTACCAGATTATGAAAGTGACAGTCGGAATGTGATTTCTGATCATGCAGCCTCGAAAACTTTAACTCCGAACGATAGTTACGGGTTTAACGACTGTATCCATACAATCTAGACCATCTATTAGCCATTCCAGAATGTTCTTTTGTTCAGGTTTCAAATTTGTAATCGAGAATTTGTCAAAATATGTTTCGAAGTGTAGTCGCCAATTTGAAATGAGTGCCGTAAAGCACGAGAAAGCTGCCTTCTGATTGGTCATTCCATTGGTCGGTCAAAGTTCGCGCAAGGTCGGTCTGACGTGACCTGTAATGGGATGTCCTCAGATCTTTGTAGAGGTAGCGAGAACTAAGATCTGATTTTAATGAGATTGCTTTCATCCCGTCCACCTACTTATGAACTCATTAAGCAATAATCACCATACCTGTGTATACTTCTGTTTAGTGGCTTCCTGTCTAATTGGCTTCCACCTCATGTCCTGTCTGTCCATCGTGTTGTGACAATATTATCCTTCTGTTGTCATTACTTGACCTACTCATGTCAATACCCATCATGTATGCAGTTGTTGGTACTGATAAATCCTCTACTGTTAATCCTCCACCTACTATATATATTCTGTCCCATGTTTATTCAGTCTTGCTTGACAACGGTATAAGGATCTATACTGAAATGTGGCCTTTACAGTAATTAAGGAAGTCGTTATCCATAAGTTGTGTCTTCTTTGTCATCCGTCAACTTTAAAGTAACGCCGACTCATGAAGATCTGGGGTAGAATAGGTCTTCAGCAACCCATGCTTGTCGTAAAAGGCGACTAACGGGATCGGGTGGTCAGGCTCGCTGACTTGTTTGATGCATTGCATCAATTCCAATTGCGTTGATCGATGCTCATGATATCAATCACTGGATTATCTGGTCCAGACTCGATTATTTACAGACCGCCGTCATATAGCTGGAATATTGCTGAGTGCGGCGTAAAGCAACAAACAAACTAAACTAAACTAAAGTAATGCCTATTAAACAGTTAATGTTATCCTACCCTGACAACGTAGGGCGCTGCTCATAATATCAACCACTGGTTTTTCTAGCCCAAACTTAATTACTTGCAGACCACAAAGATAAAGCTGTGCTATCATGGCTGTTGCAGAATTCAGTTTTAATTAGTACAATCAAATGAATTATAAGAGATCTGTCTTTTGCAGAATAGATTGCAAGTAATTCCATGTCATTTGATTGTATTCATTTGTATTCTAATCATAATCTTTATCATAACGTCACAACTTCTGATTGGTATAATCACATAATATATAAATATGTGCTATTTTTTAACATATGTAAAAGGGTGGGGATATTAATTACTTTGTCCGTTTTTTGTAAGCATGTTTTTGTTCCACCCAAATTTAGTTTCTACACAGAAAAAATATCAGGATTAAGTACATAAAATTGCAGTGAAAATGTTCCGACCCGGTAGTGAAAAGCTCCGACTGACAGGAACAAATGTTTGGGTGTGTTCATGAGCAATGTTCCTGTATATTGTTAAGGTGCAACCTGAAAACCAGGGAAACTAAGACCTACATACACATGCAATACACATAATCTAAAGGAAAAACAAAAGAAAATGATGGAAAAGAAAGGCATGTAACAAAACCCAATAGTTAATTAATGGTAAAGGTGAATGTGAAAACATGTAATTATTACGGAAACAGATAGAAAGCAGAGCCCAAAACGCAAAACGTGTTTATGACAAATGACTTAACAAAAAGGGAGTCACCAGTGAATACTACTGCTGTCGGGATGAAGTATCCCGAAGACTAAACAGAAAAGGAGAAAACATTACCACGGCAACAGAGATACATGTATATAAAAAAACATATTTTTATTGAATTTGTTATGAACACACAATGCCATTTATAAAGTGGTCAAATGTAACAAATGTTATAGATCACATACTTTGTGTACCCCTCTGACAAGTGTAAATTGGCCCGACTCCTATGGCCGAAAGGTATGGCCGAAGTAAAGTACAGATTCTCGTATTTTTGGGGACAAAAAAATTGAAAGTCCGACATCTGGTAAGCTAAATCATGTACTTTGTGTACCCCTCTGACAAGTGTAAATTGGCCCGACTCCTATGGCCGAAAGGTATGGCCGAAGTAAAGTACAGATTCTCGTATTTTTGGGGACAAAAAAATTGAAAGTCCGACATCTGGTAAGCTAGATCATGTACTTTGTGTACCCCTCTGACTTTGAAAGTGTTATCCCAAATATGTTATTCAAAAATGTTAAGGGAAATGTCAAATGGGAATTTTCTCACATAGAGCATTTGTTCCTTGCTTAAAATTCCTTTATGCTTTCTCCCCCCCCCCCCCCCCCCCCACCAAAAAAAAAAAAACCCACCAAAAAAACCCACATTAAATCAACCAAAACAACAACAAAATAAGCCCCATTTCTTGATATAGACCCATCACAATATCCCTCTTTTAGACAGTTTGACAGTTTCTCAAGGTAGATCGAACATGTGTGTGAAAGTTACAGCATGACCGAGGGGCGGTCGGGTAGCCTAGTGGTTAAAGCGTTCGCTCGTCACGCTGAAGACCCGGGTTCTATTCCCGACATGGGTATAATGTGTTAAGCCCATTTCTGGTGTCCCCTGCCGTGCTATTGCTGGAATATTGCTAAAAGCGGAGTAAAACCATACTCACTCACTCATTGCTGCCACCGCCATTGAGGTGGCCATTACATGAGCTTCATAATCTCAAACCCAGAGTATAATGACATGTACCAGGTATATATTTTATGTGTATGAGGGAATGTCTTTATAGTGGAATGCAAAAAGGTTTATGACTGACTTGGTATTTCCCGGATAAATTTTAGCATGTTTAGTTTGTTGATTTCATCAGTTTGGTTCAAGATTGCAGACTGTTTTTTAACGATCAGCATCACTTGATTGTAAATGTTCCGGTCAATTAGTTCCTATTTCAACTCCATGCATGGTTGTAAAGCACCAGCACAGTGGGGAGCTGTGATTGGTTCAGCTGTGGTATACAGATACTCACTCACTCACTCCAGCATGACCGAAATAAATTTCAGAGTGATAGGAACCCAAAACTGGACGTGATATGCGCCTCCAAAGGAACAAATGTTGGTAGTAAATGTTTCGCCAGAGCTTATATATATGCATGGAACCAAATCTTGTTCACAACATTACTATCGAAACAAGAAAATAGCCACATTGAATTCTGTTTATTCAACTATTTGCAGCTCAAAACTGGCGAACTTGTTTGGTATGGACAAGGCGAGCAACAAGGGAGGGAATGAATCTCTGACATACACAGCCCCCAAACAACCAAAGAGGAAAGGTTTGGACTGTTTCTGCTTGATGCTCATAATTATTATTATGTGTGGGCATTGTCCTTGATATTTGATAATGAACATGATCACTGATGATAAATAATCATGATAATCATGATAATGCAACTGGGACAAAACTTAAATTTGCAATATGCACATTTTAAATATTTCTCTTTTAATTAAACGTTTCTGACTTTTTATTGATCTTTTTACCTTTTGCCCAGTATTATGTCAAGATTTAAAATTATTCCTATCACATACCGTATTCGATGTAATAAGCGCCCAGGGCGCTCTCAAAATTAGAAATAGGGCGCTCTTATTAAAATATTATTTTGGTGAAAAAAACACAGTTGAAAGATAAATTTCGTGTTGATGTACGACAGATATATTTTTCCAGAATTTAATTGCCTATAATTAAGGTTGCATATAACACACAAGTGCGTATAAGTCTTATGAACATTGATCAATCGGAAGGGGTGCTAATTGGGATTGTTCACTAGCCAATATATTCGCAAATATCGCCAAGGGTGCTTATAAGAGCGGGGCGCTTATTACGTCGAATATTGTAATAACAGTGATATTTTACCATCTTGTAACAGTGTTTGAAATTTAAAGTGAAAGTCAATGTGAACTTGTTATAGTTCTTATCAATGTAAACAAAACATTTGTGGGGAATACCATGGCCACATACCTCACAGACCCCATCCTTTATCATCCGGCATATTATATTTCCATTCCATTAGGATATACACTCCCTGAATCCATACGCCACCAAAGCTTCGTCGGGGAAGTGATGTCGCGATTTCTATTTGCCACATCGCTAACTTAGCACAGAATGTCTTTCACTGATAAGCTTGAAATCAACAACAAATCAAAGTTACTCTTCTATACAAGAGTTTGGGTACATCTAACACGAGGCAAGAACTTGTGATGGCGATTATTACTTACCCTCTTGATAGTTCCTGTAACCATAATCATTTAATTTGATTGGATGGCTACTTTTCAACCCTTTAACTTGTTTAAGTGGCGACCATTTTGCTGGCAAAATGCAACATAAATCTATGATTGGCGACCTAAATTTATCTCCTGCTCGCCACTTGGCTACCTAAAAGTAAACATAACTGGTAACAATATCTGGCGTTTTATATTTTTCGGATTACAGACTTGCCGACTCCAAATTTTTAGAAAATGTAAAAAAATAAATCAGGTTTCCGTTATTTTTTTCCCGCCGATAGCCGCGTAGTCAGTTATTTTATTTGTTATCATCACCTTTTAATAAAAAACATAAATTTAACATTGTAAACCAGTAAAGAGTGAGTGAGTGAGTGAGTATTGTTTTACGCCGCTTTTAGCAATATTCCAGCAATATCACGGCGGGGGACACCAGAAATGGGCTTCACACATTGTATAAACCAGTAAAGAGATACATAATCAATCTTTGTTGATCTCAAAGCCGAACATGAATAGCCTCCCTTGACAATTGTCTGTGTTGTAAGTGGTAGAATTTTTATTGTTACAAGGGGCTTTATTGTCACAAATGGCGTCCTTTTGAGCACAGAATATGTTCATAAAGTATGCCAGAGGCATTCTGCATTAATAAAAAATGAATCTGGCTTTTTTTTCTTCTTCTTTTTTTTTTTCCTCCTCCAACCCTACTTTGGGTTGAAAAATCTGTAATCCTAAAAATAAAAAAAGCCTGGCCTAAGATATCTGTTTACTCCTTAAAAAATTTGGATCCTAAAATATTCATATTAGGAGCTGCTTGGCTCCCTAACAAAAAACTTCAAACTGGACTCAATACAATTGTGGCAAAAGGATCCAGGCTCGGAATGAGCGTCAGATATGTTGGATCATCGAGGATGCATGAAATCCTTCTTTTCAAGCACTGTTTCCTAGTAAATAACCTCTTAATTTTTGAAACCCACTCTATATTGATTCATCATAAGAGCAGGAATAGAAATTTGCAAATTTTGTTTTAATTTTACATTGCAAGTTCAAGTAGGTTCGCTCTTTGTTTCAGGCTTTAGTGATATTATAATTCCTGCTGTAAAACTTATGACAATACTTCACTGGCTTGTACACACTGCTATATGTCTTCCGTCCGTGAAGATCCAGGACAGCATTAGTCTTCAGCAACCCATGCTTGTCATAAGAGGCGACTATGCTCGTCGTGAGAGCAGACTAACGGGATCTGGATCATGCTCGGTGGCTTTGTTGAAGCATGTCCATTCCAGTGGCATAGGTCAATGCTCACCTCACTGGATTGCCTGGTCCCGACATGATTATTTACAGACCGCCGTCATTTAGATGGAATATTGCTTAGTGCGACATTAAACAACAAACAAACAAAACAAAACAAATATATCTGTTCACTTTGCTGGGTATTGGTGACGCTTATGTTGAATCAGCAAATGAAATGAGCCCTTGTATAACTCATGGGAGTCAAAGCAGCCCTACTCCATGCATGAACGGGTGGTGGGATAGCCTCGTGGTTAAAGCGTTCGCTCATCTTGCTGAAGGCTGGGTTCAATTCTCCACATGGGTACAATGTGTGAAGCCCATCGCTCGCTGCGATATTGCTGGAATATTGCTAAAAGCGGCGTAAAACCATACTCAATCAATCACCATGCATGAACATTTTTGCGAAACACGACCACCGACGTTCTGTCGAGCCTGTGGCCATTGCCATTTATGCAATGTTATCAGAAATATCAAATGTCATTTGTCAGAGAAATCCCTCTCACTGGAGTGAGTGAGTGAGAATGGTTTTACGCCGCTTTTAGCAATATTCCAGCAACATCACGGGGGGGGACACCAGAAATCGGCCTCACACATTGTACCCATGTCGGGAATTGAACCCGGGTCTTTGGCGTGACGAGCGAACGCTTTAACCACAAGGCTACCCGACCGCCCCCTCTCACTGGGAGCAAGCTATGGTATGATTCATCAGTTAAATTAGCACTGCATTGCAGTGTATCTGATGTATTAAGAGATGATGGAGGACAGTAGTGTGCACAGTCCCATGAAGTGTAGATGATGGCTAGCAAACAGTGGAGGCTAAATTTCTATCCCTGCCTTTTTGAGCTAGTCAATTTGTTTGTGTCTTTCCTAATCAGTTGCTACTTCTGCACATGGATTATTTTTTGTCTTCAGAAGCCAGCCCCGATGGAGGCGCTGCCCCGGCCATCCTCAGTGCTACAGTAGTTCACGCCTATAAGTAGTCAGTAACATTTCAGATTTACACCTAGCGTTTATTACACACTGTGTTCTCCCAAAACCTCGCATTTGTTCAGTAGCTGTCGTACCTAATATGTAAAAGGAATATTTTTTTATTTTAATTAATTTAAACTTTCCATTAACATGAATAAGATTCACCTGCCTGTATGTTTCTGCACAGCTGCCAAATCCAGGCTTGTACACTCTATGTGTTTTATCTTTGGTGTACCAGGATCTGCTGATTGTTATTTGAATTTTCCATGATTATGAACCTTGGCTTGCCACCACAGTGCTATCACATTAAAATGATAATATCACAATACGTTTAGATTTATACCAGTATATGGTGTTTTTCAAAATCATGCCTATTTTCTTTGTTGGCCAAGTTTAAATAAGTGACAAATGAAATGAAATTCTGAAATTCATCAGCAATATTTTGTATACGTATCGCAATACATGCATCATTATTGCGATAAATTGCAATACGAAAATCAGACCAATGACCATCACCATTATCACAATAATCTTTATTTAGGCTAAAAAAACAATAGTCTTGGTTCTCAGTCACCACCCGCATCATCATAAAGTCTGCCGCATGTCTCATTATTATTTCCATTTTCAAAAAAAAATAAAACATCCTTATACTTAAAAACAATGCAATCCAATATAACACACAGTTACTTCCCTTTAAATGCGCACTGCTTTACTGTGCATCTCGTGTTAATGAGGCAATAGGAGTTGCATGCTTATAAATTATATCTGTTTTATAACATACAAGTCTGAACAAGCAAAAACAAAAACCACCACCCGCTCAAACTATATTTTCAAAAGTCATTACCTGAGAACCAATTCTTTTAATTTTTTTAAGCCTTTAAGGCTTTATTTGATTTAAGCCTTATTTAAATTTAATTTTAAGGCTTTTATTAATAATTATATTTCTATTATGTTGGAGCTGTTGTGTACTTGCAGCGTAGAGAACCAGTATGCCAGTCAGGGGAAACTAGGCGTGGCTGTCCTTGGCAACCATGCAGCCAAAGATGTAAGTCTTCATCTGTACTCACAGGCGAAAGAAACTTTGATCGTATGAAATTATAGAGAACTTGAGGAAGACTCAAGATGCTGTATGACTTTCTCTATTTTTGGGGGGCGGTCGGATGGCCCAGTGGTTAAAGCGTTTGTTCGTCACGCCAAAGACCCGGGTACGATTCCCGACATGGGTACAATGTGTGACGCCCATTTCTGGTGTCCCCCGCCGTGATATTGCTGGAATATTGCTAAAAGCGGCGTAAAATCATACTCACTCTCTCACTCATTATTTGTAAGTCTCCTAGCAGTGTGGACAACCACTTGAGAAGACAGACCAGGGCCCCCTTGCACAAATCGATCTTAGCGCTAAGACTATTGTTAGCCTATGTTAGAGTATGGGAGTTAAGATCATCTTAGCGCTAAGATCGCTTTGTGCAAGTGGGCCCAGGTCAGCTGGATTCTGTGTAATACATCTAGTTCTTGTTTTTGATATTCAGGCTTATCCTCTAGCCCACTTTGTGTAAAAATCCAAAGATGGTATAAGTTAACGTTATAGTAAACGTTACTCTTTCAAGCAGGACTAGCCGCAAACTCTGAATACTAGTGAAATAAGGTTTACTCAAGCCATCAAAATTCTAATGCTGTGGTATTCATGTTAATGAAACTGATGTATGTGGGCGGTCACAACAATATTTTTAGGAAGATCAGATTCCAGGACTTACCATGCTTACAGGGTCCAGACTATCAACATTTCACTGTATATTTGTACCCAAATAGAGGTATTTATTAAAAGCAACCATGGTAACTAAATCAGTCTGTTCAAAAACTAATGAGTCTATAAGAATCGTTTTCTTGATTCTTGAGCTGAGCTTGATACACCGAACAGAAGTTGCTTGACTCAGGCTTCAGACTAGTGGCTAATATCCAAGACTGCTTGTTCAATTCAGTTGACATGCTTTTATTCACGTTTTCAGTACCGGATCCTGCTTTATGTGAGCAAGCAACAGCAGGTCACCAATGCCAAGATCAGCTCAGCATTTACATTCAGAGTAAGTTATCATCATGTAGATCTTGTTGTTGAAGGAAAGTGCTTCTTATTTTATTACTAGGGGCATGGGTAAACCATCTGTTGCACCTTGCTGTGCAGGGTTGCTTCCCTTTGGTGTGCCAGGATCCTATGATGATGGGTTATTAATCTTAGATTCAGCCTGATTGTGATCCTTGGTTTGTCATCACCGGGATTGGGGGTTTGGCAAAGAGATAAGTGTGTTTAATAACCTCTGCATCATTTCAACTCACATTGAGCTGACCGGTGTGATGTAACTGAAATACTGTTGAAGCAGAGTTAAACCCAAGTCATTCACTCATGCCGTTATTAGCATACTACAACAGTCCCCACTGTATTCCATGGCCAACACCCACGTCACACCGAAGACCCAGGTTCGATTCCCCACATGGGTACAATGTGTAAAGCCCATTTCTGTTGTCCCCTGCTTTGATATTGCTAGAATATTGCTAAAAGTGGCGTTAAACAATACTCACCTCCCATGGCCAATAAATTCTGCAACAAAATTTTGATTCCGCACATGTCTCTGCAAACTTTTAAGTTAAGTTTTAGCTTTGCACTTGTTTGAATCGTGACAGGCACTTTCAACTTATCACTACTTATCCACGGCTAGAATAACATATTGAAAATGAATCTGGAGATCAGTAAACATATATGAGTGCACTTTCGGTAAGCAATAATGCGAAAGTAAACTTCCCTTAAAAAGAAAATTAATAACCGTTTACATGTTTAAAACCAGCTTTTGACTCACATGTTAAACTTCTGCAGTGTATTTGACAAATTCTGTGGCAGATAAATGCAAAAATCTGCTCGAGTTCTGCACAAAATGCTATTTTCTGCAAGATACGTATGTTTCTGCACCGAGTGGGCATTTCTGCAAAATATTCTGCAATCACAGAAATTCAGCAGGGACTGCTACAAGGTATTCAACCAATATACTATGATGATATATGCTAAAAATATTAAGAAACTCACTCACTCACTCACTCACTCACTCACTCACTCACTCACTCACTCACTCACTCACTCACACTCTCGCTGCAAAACTTGCTACAAATATGCTGTTTTTCACAGGTTCAAGCCAACAATTATGCAAGTTTTTATGATGAAGGACGCCAGAGTTGGTCACTTATGTTTGACAAGGAAGAAACAATCATCAAGTTTGCAAAAGACGTAAGTAGGACGTGATAATCTGTGCTGGATATTTTCACATTTATGTGCCAATTGACATGATTCAGGAAATTTTAAATTATACTCGTAGGATACTTACTCTTTAAGATCAATTAGCAATTAAAATGTTAACAATTACTTTTCATTCTTGTCGTCTACCCTTATGTCCCCTGCAGGTGGCACTGTGCAAAGCTAACAGCACTGGTGGGTCCCTAGACAGCGTGGTGATCCAGGACCTGACTCTGGGGGACGGGGGACCACTGGAACCTGATGACTCAGCAGAAATCAAATACACCGGCTGGCTGATGACAAACAATACATATGGACAGGTGAGCTGTCTGCAACTTACATATTCGTCTGGAACCCATGCCGGGAGAGCAGAAGGTCCCCTGGTCACGTCATATCAAAAGATGGTTAAAAGATGGTACTTGTTGTTAATCTGCCTACCACTTGGCATTAAGGGGCTAAAACAAGGATTGGTCGGCTTGGAGTCAGTATACTGTGTCAGAGTGGTATATCCATGTTAAACTGTGGCATGGTATCTCGATGTGTTAGCACTATTAAACTGGCATAAGGCTGGACTAGTACCAGCAGCCATGCATGTCACTATATATGTGCAATAATCTTGAATGCATGTTAAGCCCCATTTCCTTGAAGCCTGAGACTTTCAAGATTCCTTGTGGTCATAGCATGGTTAACTTTGCTAATAAGAAGGGGTGTTTTAGGAGTAGACTCTTCTGAAAATGATGCTGAGCCAAGTGGGGACTACATTTTGCTGGTCGTGGGAGGCTAATGGATCTGGTTGTCAGAATTTGTGACTTGGTTGATTGTTTATCATTGCACCCTGAAGGCATGGGACCGCCTCCGTGGTCTAGTGGTAGAGCGTCCGCCCGGAGAGCGGAAGGTCCAGGGTTCGATCCCCGACAGCGTCATACCAAAAGACGTTAAAAGATGGTACTTGTTGTTACTCTGTCTGGTGCTCGGCATTAAGGGGCTAAAACAAGGACTTGTCCGCTCGAAGTCAGTATACTGTGTCTGAGTGGGGTATTCATGTTAAACTACGGCATGGTATCTCAGTGAGCTAGCACTATATATCGGCAACAGTCCAGACTAGTACAAGCAGCCACACAAACACACACACACATGCATGCACGTCGCTATATAAGTGCAATAATCTTGGACGCGACGTTAAACCCCATTTCACCTCACCTCACCTGAAGGCATGGGACTTCGCTCATTGGCTAAGACCACCTAGATTGATATTTTTTTTTTTTTTTTTTGTTTAACGTCGCACTCAGCAATATTCCAGCTATATGACGACGGTCTGTAAATAATCGAGTCTGGACCAGACAATCCAGTGATTAATATCATGAGCATCGATCCACACAATTGGGATCGATGACATGCATCAACCAAGTCAGCGAGCCTGACTACCAGATCTTTGATAATTCACCATTGTTCACAAGCTGCCTTGATATTAGTGACTGTGGCGTGAAACAACAGATAAACAAACAAATGATTTTGTTTGTTTTTTGTTTAACGCCGCACTCAGCAATATTCCAGCTTTATGACAACCGAATCCATTTAGTCACCTTGTATGACAAGAATACGTTGCGGGGGACCGATGCTAACCCAGAATCCTAAAGGGGCTGCTGTGGTTCTAACTAAAGTATTGCGGAAATTTTAATCACCAGTATTAACATATTGAAATTTTTCGAGTTTGTTTGGGTTGAAAACAGAAAGACAGAAGAACATTAAGAACAGAGTGAGGATTCTTAGATTTCTCAGTATGAGTTTAAGGTAACTATTTTCTATAATTTCTTTGTAGGTTTTTGATAGCAATGCCACTTCAGACAAAATGTTCCGGTTCAAACTTGGGAAAGGAAAAGTTATTAAGGTAAGTACACAACATCCCCACATACAAATGGATGGTTCATCTGATTAAGTCATTATCTTTTATTTGTTGGGTCACAGATCCTCCAACACTCTTTTCATCAAAGATGAACAAAAATACAAAAGGTTCAATTACACGTTTTTTCGTCAGCACATTACACACAAAAACGGTTTTGTGATTTTGAAAAAATCATCAAACAATACCAATGTAATGCTGAGTTTGACATATTTTATTTAACTGATCAGCGACAGTGGATGTTCTGCACAGTACATCCAACAGACATATGTATATATGTGTGTGTAAACAATACTCACTCATTGCTGCCACCACTATTGAGGCGGCCATTACAAGAGCCTCATAATCTCAAACCCACAGTATAATGACATGTACCCGGTATATATTTGTGTGTATGAGGGAATGTCTTTATAGTGGAATGCAAAAAGGTTTATGACTGACTTGGTATTTCCCGGATAAATTTTAGTTTGTTCATTTCATCAGTTTGGTTCAAGATTGCAGACTGTTTTTTAAAGATCAGCATCACTTGTTTGTAAATATTCCGGTCAATCGGTTCCTATTTCAACTCCATGCAGGGTTGCAAAGCACCAGCACAGTGGGGAGCTGTGATTGGTGGCAGCTGTGGTATACAGATACCCACAAATGGGTCTATCGCTATCAAGGAACTGACACAGATTTTAACCAAATAAGCTCCCTTTGTTTTACGAGTAAAGCAGAAACATGTTGCAGACAATGATGAACTGCTGTTTCATCTGTGATACTGGTACAAATCAAGATGATCTGATCTATGGGTATTGGTTTTCTGACCAGCCACGTCAAACTTGTTTTTGCATTTTTCTTCCTCAGACTTTGAAAATCTATGATCCAAAAACAATCTATGATCCAGCTCATGAAAATGTAGGGCCATAGACTGGTAGTATAAAATCATTGGCGGATTCAGAGAGGGGGTGCACACCTTTTTCAGACACTTTACATGTTAACTGCGCTCTCAGCCAAGTCACCTTGTGACCTCGGTATTATGCGCACCAACTTTTTCAAAGTCGTGGATTCGCCTCTGCGAATAATGACTAAGTGGTTGACTTATTTATAGGAGGATGCTGAGAGGATGGCTACTAATTCTGATGAATATTTTTCGTGTTGTGACAGGGCTGGGAGACGGGCATCCTGGGTATGAAGAAAGGAGGACGGAGGTTGTTGGTTGTCCCTCCCAGCTTCGGCTACGGGAGTCAGGGGATGCCAAACAGGATCCCTGCTAACTCCACACTCATCTTTGATGTGGAGGTCATTCGGGTAAGCTGAGATGTGATTTCTGCTTTTGTGTTTTGTACAGTTATCTCCCTTCTTTCAGTCACTGGACAAAATAACAGCTTACAAGATTGTCAGTGAGGCAGGTCTTTGGGTAATACGACAGATAGTATCTATTCATTGATATCTTGATGATGCTGTTAAAGTCATGTGGACAAGGTGTCACAATGTCGACATTGAGTGTCTGGTTTGAATCCCTGTTCAGGACTTGAGAAATGTTGTGAACATTAAACCCCAGTTGTTTTGAGGTTAATTCAAATAAAGACTTGCTGACTCAGTGGTAAAAAAATTAAATGAAATTGTTTTCCTTTTTACATGTATTATGGAAACATACATTGTATAATAATATAATGCGGGGGGATATTGTCATCATTTGATCTTTCTGTCATTCTGTCCGTTTATATTTGGTTTCCGGAGCATAATTTGAAAACTGTCAAAGATTTCTCATCCAAACTTGGTACATGTGTTTACCAGGGGCTGAAGTGGTGCCTCTTGCTTTTGTGGGGGCCAGGGGAATTTGTCATCTTCTGATGACACTTGTTTCAAAAGTGTTGTTATTATCATGATTATGACAATTTAACAGCAGCAAAAACAAGTTTTGAAATAAGCATCACAGATGCCAACCATTATGAATTTACTCATCCACAATTTACAGAATCAGTGAAATGTGGAATATAATTTACATAATAATGTGTTAATATTTTTTACGTCAACTGATATTTCTTATTGCATTAATTTAAAGGGAATACTTCTGTGTATGACCATGTTTTAGTTTGTAACTTGTATTTGCACGTAGGTGAAGCTACAGAAGGGTGACTCCCCAAACCAGTCCCCCGCCCCCACTCCCGTGATGGAGCAGAAGGCTGTGGATGAGGATGGGGAGACAGTCAAGGGAAGAACAAGGTCTATCTCCGAACAGATGGCAAACGTAAGTCTTACCCTGTTCCATCCAGTTGACAGTTTCACGTGTGGAGTTAACCTCAAGTTTGTTACTCATTGATAGAAAAAGGCGAGTGACTGAATGACAGGTTATTTGTCCTGAGAAAATGAATGGCGAGGGACCTACAGTGTTCCTTAACTGGGGAGAGGGATAATCTCTGATTCTGAGGTTATTCCCTATAATTTTTTGGAAGATATAGAGCGAGTGAGTGAGTGAGTATTGTTTTACTCCGCATATAGCAATATTCTAGCAATATCACAGCGAGGCCACCAGAAATGGGCTTCACATATTGTATCCATGTTGGGAATCGAACCCGGGTCTTCAGCACTTCAACCACCCTACTGACCCAAGGAAGATAATGATGATATGACTTATGAAATGAACAGATATTATCTGAGTTTCCATGGCAGTATTTACAATTGAAGGGGGAGGGGGGCGAGGGGATCAAGACCTGTGATTTTCAGATTTATTTGTCACAAAAATGTATATATAAAGCTCAATGCAAATATTAATTTTAAATCATTAGACGAGATTCTTTGTTTTGCGACAGTCCCCCAAGTCTGACAAGGCCAAGCTAATATCCCGGATGGCCAAGATGGGAAAGCCGATGTTGCCGCTAGCTGGTGCCGTCGCCGCCCAGGTCGATGAGGAGGGAGAGGAAGAGCAGCCAGTGAGTACAGCCATCTTCCTCCGTGTTTTACGATATGATTCTACCGCAACACAAGCATCTTCCTAAGTGTTTTACGATAAGGTTCTACCGCAACACGCACATCTTCCTCAGTGTTTTACGATATTGTTCTACCACAACCCACGCATCTTCCTCAATGTTTTACGATATTGTTCTACCACAACCCACGCATCTTCCTCAGTGTTTTACGATATGTTTCTCCCACAACACACGCATCTTCCTCAGTGTTTTACGATATGGTTCTACCACAATGCACGCATCTTCCTCAGTGTTTTATGATATGGTTCTACCACAACACACGCATCTTCCTCAGTGTTGTACAATATGGTTCTACCACAACACACGCATCTTCCTCAGCGTTTTACGATATGGTTCTACCACAACACAGCCATCTTCCTCAGTGTTTTACGATATGGTTCTCCCACAACACAGGCATCTTCCTCAGTGTTTTACGATAAGCTTCTACCACAACACAGGCATCTTCCTCAGTGTTTTACAATATGGTTCTACCACAACACATGCATCTTCCACAGTGTTTTACAATATGGTTCTACCACAACACACGCATCTTCCTCAGTGTTTTATGATATGGTTCTACCACAACACACGCATCTTCCTCAGTGTTTAACGATAAGCTTCTACCGCAACACATGCATCTTCCTCAGTGTTTTACGATAAGCTTCTACCACAACACACGCATCTTCCTCAGTCTTGTACGATATGGTTCTCCCACAACACAGGCATCTTCCTCAGTGTTTTACGATAAGCTTCTACCACAACACAGGCATCTTCCTCAGTGTTTTACAATATGGTTCTACCACAACACATGCATCTTCCACAGTGTTTTACAATATGGTTCTACCACAACACACGCATCTTCCTCAGTGTTTTATGATATGGTTCTACCACAACACACGCATCTTCCTCAGTGTTTAACGATAAGCTTCTACCGCAACACATGCATCTTCCTCAGTGTTTTACGATAAGCTTCTACCACAACACACGCATCTTCCTCAGTCTTGTACGATATGGTTCTCCCACAACACAGGCATCTTCCTCAGTGTTTTACGATAAGCTTCTACCACAACACAGGCATCTTCCTCAGTGTTTTACGATATGGTTCTACCACAACACACGCATCTTCCTCAGTGTTTTAGATAAGGTTCTACCACAACACACGCATCTTCCTCAGTGTTTTATGATATGGTTCTCTCACAACACACGCATCTTCCTCAGTGTTTTACGATATGGTTCTACCACAACACACACATCTTCCTCAGTGTTTTACGATATGGTTCTACCGCAACACACGCATCTTTCTGAGTGTTTTACGATATGGTTCTACTGCAACACGCGCATCTTTCTCAGTGTTTTATGATATGGTTCTCTCACAACACACGCATCTTCCTCAGTGTTTTACGATATGGTTCTACCACAACAAACGCATCTTCCTCAGTGTTTTAGATAAGGTTCTACCACAACACACGCATGTTCCTCAGTGTTTTACCATAGTGTTCTTCCACAACACACGCATCTTCCTCAGTGTTTTACGATATGGTTCTACCACAACACACACATCTTCCTCAGTGTTTTACTATATGGTTCTACCACAACAAACGCATCTTCCTCAGTGTTTTAGATAAGGTTCTACCACAACACACGCATCTTCCTCAGTGTTTTACGATATGGTTCTACCACAACACACACATCTTCCTCAGTGTTTTATGATATGGTTCTACCACAACAAACGCATCTTCCTCAGTGTTTTAGATAAGGTTCTACCACAACACACGCATGTTCCTCAGTGTTTTACCATAGTGTTCTTCCACAACACACGCATCTTCCTCAGTGTTTTACGATATGGTTCTACCACAACACACACATCTTCCTCAGTGTTTTACTATATGGTTCTACCACAACACACGCATCTTCCTCAGTGTTTTACGATATGGTTCTACCACAACACACACATCTTCCTCAGTGTTTTATGATATGGTTCTACCACAACAAACGCATCTTCCTCAGTGTTTTACGATATGGTTCTACCGCAACACACGCATGTTCCTCCGTGTTTTACTATATGGTTCTACCACAACACACGCATCTTCCTCAGTGTTGTACGATATGGTTCTACCGAACGCAACACACGCATCTTCCTCAGTGGTTTACTATATGGTTCTACCACAACACACACATCTTCCTCAGTGTTTTACGATAAGGTTCTACCGCAACACAGGCATCTTCCTCAGTGTTTTATGATAAGGTTCTATCGCAACACACGCATGTTCCTCAGTGTTTTATGATAAGGTTCTACCGCAACACACGCATCTTCCTCCGTGTTGTACGATATGGTTCTACCACAACACACGCATCTTCCTCAGTGTTGTACGATATGGTTCTACCGAACGCAACACACGCATCTTCCTCAGTGTTTTACGATATGGTTCTACCACAACACACACATCTTCCTCAGTGTTTTCGATAAGGTTCTACCGCAACACAGGCATCTTCCTCAGTGTTTTATGATAAGGTTCTATCGCAACACACGCATGTTCCTCAGTGTTTTACTATATGGTTCTACCACAACACACGCATCTTCCTCAGTGTTTTACGATATGGTTCTACCACAACACACACATCTTCCTCAGTGTTTTCGATAAGGTTCTACCGCAACACAGGCATCTTCCTCAGTGTTTTATGATAAGGTTCTATCGCAACACACGCATGTTCCTCAGTGTTTTACTATATGGTTCTACCGCAACACACGCATCTTCCTCAGTGTTTTAGATAACGTTCTACCACAACACACGCATCTTCCTCAGTGTTTTATGATATGGTTCTACCGCAACACACGCATCTTCCTTAGTGTTTTATGATATGGTTCTACCACAACACACACATCTTCCTCTGTGTTTTACGATAAGGTTCTAACGCAACACAGGCATCTTCCTCAGTGTTTTATGATAAGGTTCTATCGCAACACACGCATCTTCCTCAGTGTTTTATGATAAGGTTCTACCGCAACACACGCATCTTCCTCAGTGTTTTATGATAAGGTTCTACCGCAACACACGCATCTTCCTCAGTGTTTTATGATAAGGTTCTACCGCAACACACGCATCTTCCTCAGTGTTTTATGATAAGGTTCTACTGCAACACACGCATCTTCCTCAGTGTTTTATGATATGGTTCTACCGCAACACACGCATCTTCCTCAGTGTTTTATGATAAGGTTCTACCACAACACACGCATCTTCCTCAGTGTTTTATGATATGGTTCTACCACAACACACACATCTTCCTCAGTGTTTTACTATATGGTTCTACCGCAACACACGCATCTTCCTCAGTGTTTTAGATAAGGTTCTACCGCAACACACGCATCTTCCTCAGTGTTTTACGATATGGTTCTACCGCAACACACGCATCTTCCTCAGTGTTTTACGATAAGGTTCTACCACAACACACGCATCTTCCTCAGTGTTTTAGGATATGGTTCTACCACAACACACGCATCTTCCTCAGTGTTTTATGATAAGGTTCTACCGCAATACACGCATCTTCCTCAGTGTTTTATGATAAGGTTCTACCGCAACACACGCATCTTCCTCAGTGTTTTACGATATGGTTCTACCACAACACACGCATCTTCCTCAGTGTTTTATGATATGGTTCTACCACAACACACTCATCTTCCTCAGTGTTTTACGATATTGTTCTACCACAACACACGCATCTTCCTCCATGTTTTAGGATATGGTTCTCTCACAACACACGCATCTTCCTCAGTGTTTTACGATATGGTTCTACCACAACACACACATCTTCCTCAGTGTTTTACAATATGGTTTTACCACAACACATGCATCTTCCTCTGTGTTTTACAATATGGTTCTACCACAACACACACTAATATGGTATAATGGTACAGTTTATCATAGTGTTGTTCCAAATAATTGATTTAAAGGAATATTGATTGAAGGATTGTTTGATAGGCATTACGAATGAGTTGACGGATGACAAAGTAGACACAATTTATGGATAACAACTTCTTTATATACTGTACAGGCGATGCTTCAGTATAGATGCTTATACCGTTGTCAAGCAAGGCTACTTTGATTGTAGGAATTGATCATGAAATCGATCATTGACAAGTTCTCATTTAAAATTAGTTCTTTTGAATTGTTAAAATGAGTTTGTAGGGGTGGTTGGGGGAATAACGCTTTTAGTTATAATACAATGCACCAAGAGTCGTATAAGGTTAAAAGACTTGTTGCTGTTTCAGTGTCTGTTACTCATGTTAGACCTGTTTCAGTGTAGTGAGTGAGTGAGTGAGTGAGTGTGGTTTAACGCCGCTTTTAACAGTATACCAGTTATATCACGGCGTGTCAGCTTAATGTGGGAGGAAAGCCCGAAGTGTCTGAAGTCTCAGATGTTTACCCCTTCTGTGAAACCCACGAGCACGGGTATGGTGCTGACAAACCTAGAAACATAATCAGGGCAAACCGGGATTTGAACCCACAATCAAAGGTTTCTGGCGTGCCCAAGGGATTCAACTCTGCTCAGCGAATCGCGGCGCCTTAGGTGACTGGGCCACCCGTGCTCCCTAGAGTATTGTAAAGTAACATTTAAGAATTTTTTATTTTACTCATGAAAGATACTGAAAAAAGACATGTTAGAAGGTTAAAATATATTTATTCTCATTCATGGATCATTCACAATATTAATCAATCAGGTTTACTATACACAAAGTATTGCTTCCAAAACACATGCAAGTGAGTCCATTGCAAGTCCTGGGTGACGTAGAAGGCCTATGTGGTCTAGTCGAGAGCGTCCGCCCAAGACGGAATGTCGTGGGTTTTATCCCCAGCTGCGTCATTTTATCAATGATAACAGACGGTACTTGTTGTTACCCTGCCTGGTGCTCGGCATTAAGGGGCTAAGACAAGGACTGGTCAGCTTTGAGTCAGTATACTGTGTCT